CATTAAATAACCCATTGAGGTTGATATGCCGTAAAACACAACAAACCAAACCAAACCATAAATGTATTAAACGCTTTCCATTTTTCTCTATATATCATTCTTGATTTGACATGAAAAGAACACGTTGTCACACCCCACACATAGTAAGTACTTGACTCCTCCTGGTATCCTCTAACTTTATAAGAGCCAGATCAGACCGAAAATTGAGTACTACTGCCATATATAGACAAAAGCTGCACAGTCTTCACATATCGATAGAACCCAAAAGCGTCTCCGAGTCCGTGTGGGTGACGAACTAGCCTGTAATATCTTTCTCACAGACGAAGCGTCGCAAGTATCTCGCTGCTCTAAAGCTATTTCCATGGAGGGTGTTCAGACAAACATTCCTTAATTCAAATTTCGCAGCTAAGACCCGCCATGCCACGCACATTGTAATGAATCAGCCATTCGCATTCCATTAATGAGATGTAAGTGTAACTCAAGTAGCTTCTTCTCACGAACAGCTGATTTTTAGAACTGACTTCCAAGAGGATTCTTCCCCGATCACTGTAATCTTAACCTGTTCAGGTTTAGCATCAGCTGTTATCTTCCTCAAAAATGCACCACTTACTCTTTAACCCTCTACCTCAAGTGGCTATTGGGCCTTGTACAGGATGAACATCATTGTGAAAAAATATGCGTCGTGTGACATGTTGTGACGCACATATGCAGACATTCAATGATTTGTATTTCTCTATTCAAGACTTAGGTAATCATGGCTCTCCACAATTTCCTGACCTTTGTAGCTCTTATTAAATGTTGTCTTTTTGTTAACTCTTCTAAACCTTGCTCTGCCATCCATTTCCTCAAACTCACTATCTAGGTTATCCATTGTTTTCCTCTTGCCTTCAATCTACCCTGTGAGTATCAATTTTTTAAGCCCTCTTTCCTCATTATGTACCCTAGAAATATCAAACATCTCATTCTGATGTTATGCATAAGTATCCTTTTTGTTTCAATTTTCTCTAAAAATTCTTCGTTGCTCACATGTTTAGATATGACACATAAAAAGCATTGTTGATGACATTGTTTTTTAGTATATAGTTTATGCCGTCGTCGTTGGTAGAACTCGTTCCCAAGTATTGGGGTGCTCATCGACATTTCCTTCTGTGTGAAATGAGCCCTAGGTTGGATCAAAAGTGACGTCTACAGCCACTGGTAAGGTAGAAGGCTCCAGGGGATGTAGAGCTCTGTTTTTTGGGGGTTTTTTACCTCTCTTTTCTCTTCTATTTGTCTTTGAAGGGTAATGTTTTTTTTTGTGGACTGCTTATCTCCAACGGATTCTTTCTGCAGCTTCCGTTTCCCAATTGAACGGATAAATTTCTGTCCTCAGTTTTTGTATTGATCCTTGAATCAACGACGTGGAGCTCCACGTGGTCTCTTGCTAGATGCAAACTCCGAGAAGAGGATTTGTTTGGGTAAGCGGATGTTTGGCATTTGGGCAAGGTGTCCGACCCATCGAAATCGGTAGCAAGTCCTAATGGTTATTCTTTCTTCCCGCAGTTTATCATCTTTGTTTTTTTTTTATGATCCGGTCCGGCCACGTGTTCTGCGGGATTTGACCAAGTTTAATTTGATGAAATATTTCAATTTTGCGGATGTCTCTTCCGTAGAGTACCCAGATCTCATAGGAGAGTCGAGATTACAACAGCTCGATACACCATGTGCTTGGCGGTTTGTATTAACCCGGGACTGCTAAAGACTTTTTTTGAATAGAATCCTTTACACTGCTTGATAGACCTTGATTCGGTTTATACCATTTGCTAATGAAAATATAGACAGTATTATGTAGGGGTTCAAATACCCAAGTTAATAGCGATCGTGTTATTAAATTTAAATTAATTTATCAAACTAAAGCAGAAGTAATCATACATAACATTATCTAATTATGCAAGGTTTCAAATATCCAAAGTTCAGTGTACGTGTTGCTTAATTTTATTGTCTCAGAATAAAGCAAAACTAACAGTATCATAATTTTATTGTTGAACTGACCTGAAAAAAAAACGCATTACATTTAAAATTTAATTAGATTTCGTAATAAATCAACAGAATTGCATGCATTTAATTAAGGATTTTGTTTCAATTTTTACAATTCGGTGTTCCTTGAGCTTTTTTATCTGATTAAAATTAATTTTAATTACCGTATTCACATGCGTATATGGTTCTTTTTTTTTTTTCTTCTTTTTTTTTTTTTTTTTACAAAAGAATATTGAAATAAAAAGCAACAATTACAAGATGGAGTAAAACTAATAAAAATATACTATCGAGAGGACTGCGTTAAAACTCAGTAATAACAAGGTAATGTAAAACTCGTAATAAGGTAGAATGTATTGACACAAAATGTTAAAACAATAATAACAACAATAATAACATCAATAATAATAATAATAACAATAACAGCCATAATAACAATAATAATAATAACACTCTTGAAAATGCCACTGTTTTTCTGTTTGAAATTTCCTAATGAATCTTAATATAATGTTTGGCTTATGAGTCCCACTATTATAGAATATCTGTAGAAATTCCCATTTTACATTCTTTAAGATTTGAGTTTAATAACTTTAACCAAATATTTCAATAGCAATCATAAATATGGATGCAGGTTATTATTTAAGGTACAAATGAAGAGATATGAAATTAACAAGGTTTTTCCATCTCACTGAAGCAGACGTTAAACACATGAGTGTTATTATAGCTTCTTTCTTTCTTTATAATCAAATAGATTCCCTGATATGTATTTTTCATTTTTCCTTGCGATTAAACCGGACTAGTCCACTATTTCTAAGGTAAATAAGGTCGTAGAGTACGTTCTAATGACTGTGTACTGTCAGGTCATGGCTCTTCACAATTTCCTGTTCTTCGTAGCTCTTAGTAAATTTTGTCTTTTTGTAATCTCTTCTAAACATTGTTCTGTCACCCATTTACGTAAGTTCATTGGGTAGGATATGTAATGTTTTCCTCTGTCCCGCTCGCCTTCAGTATGTCCTATGAGTGTCAAATTTTATAAACCCTCTTTCCTCATTATGTGCCATAGAAATTTCAACTGTCTCTTTATGATGTTAAGTATAAGTCTCTTTTTTTTTGTTTCCATTTTCTCTAAAACTTGCTCCCCCATTCGGTCCATTTTATTCTCAGCACCCTCCTTTTATATTAAGTATAGAGGAATTCTTTTCAGTTTTCGTTGTTAATGAGTTCGTAAGTAATATTATGAGTTTAGTTTTATCGAGAATATTTGTGCTATTTGCTTTTATTTTTTGTTAGGTTCGTGCTTTTTATTAAATAATTCGAATATTGGAGGAGTTTTAATGTATTTTTCTTTGTCGAGTAAGTGTTCTGGGCTATAAATTCAAAGTGCTCTTAAGTAGAAACATATAATCAATTATTCTAGACGCTGGTGTTAATAGAAATTTATGTGATCTTTTTTAGATCTTAGATTTACAATAGATGTTTAGTTTTAGATTATTATCAATGGGATTTAACATATCAAGAAAAGGTAATGTATTGTTTCTGTTTCATAAGTAAATTCAATTGCACGTTCGATGTTTACTTTACTTACAAGATCAGGGAATATATTGCGTGGAGATATTAAAGAAGCATCATCAATATATCGGAAATATGCTGATTATTTAAGCAAAATAATTTGAGAAGGACGAGTTTTTATAGAAAATTTCTAAGAAAAGACAAGCTAATACATGGTTAAGCAGTGATCCCATCGGTAAACCATAAAATTATTATTGAATCCTTATAATTTTATCTATCCGTAGAGAGAGATTAGTTTTTGATTTTACGAAATATTTCTTTACGGCTTTTAAGCGTGAGTGGATCTTTCATATTTATGTATTTTAGTTTTTTGACAAGGTTACCGGGATTTTTAATATGTTGTGGGCTTCTAAGAAGTGGGGTTAAAATATTTACTTCAATTTCGATAGTTTATGGAAGCATTTCTAATTTCATATATGTCACATTGGAATGCTATAAATTTTAGTTATGTTATGGTGGTATTCAATCAATTTTGATAATGTTTTTATCTCATTATTAAGTAAATTTCTAATTGATTTGTTGAATTTTTAAGTATCTGTTGTGGTAGGATCCACCTAATTTGCATAGTGGAGTACCGACCATATAAAGAAGGAAAATTAGCAGGAGATAACTGACATCCATCAAACATGGCACGTGGAACTAGAACAGTCTACCCCAGTGATCGAAATAAAGGGTTCAGTTCGAAATTCCAACCACCTGAAGAAGGCCGGAGCGTACAACGGCCGAAACGTTGTGACAAATATGGCGACAAAGATGAGGACAATAGTCCGACTAATGTAAATACTGTACAAAAGACTCTATGTAAATATTGTGGACACTTTCTTGTTTCAATACATTTTGTTCTAAGTACATTTTGTGTTGCATTATTATTCCATGCATTAGTCAAGTTTCAACAGTATCGGAAATTTATTATGTTCAATGATTTTTCATAAACCTTTGCTTTTTACTGTAAGCATTTTTATCCTTGAGAATTCCACCTCCTTTGTCTGAGGCAGATATGAAAATGTCTTTATTTTTACCCAAAATCTTCTCTAGCGTTTTGTACTAACGTTATTTCATTGTATCCTCCCAATGAGATAATTGCTGCTGAATTAGGAACCGACTAAAGCAGGCGGTAGAATAGATAGGCCGAAATGTGATAATAAAACCTCAGCAAAAGGAAAACAAAAGATGAGTACAGTAGTCTGAACAAATCTTGAAAAACTTGGTCTGAATTTCCGAGATGAAGAATTATTATTTACACTCGAATTATTGTCCTCCTCTTTGTTGTTTTAATCACAATGTTTCGGGCATTGTGTTCTCCGACCTTCTTCAGATGTATATCGATTTGGGTAACCTACAAGAAATTCTGAACTGAACCCTTTATTTAGTTTACGGGGTGCACTGTTTTCGTTCCACTTTCTATATTAGTGAAGGGTTTACGGCCACATCATGTCGAAAAACCGCTTCTGGTACGATCACCAAAGTTAAGCAACATTGAGCATGGGCAGTACTTAAATGGGTGACCGCTTGGGAATACCAGGTGCCGTAAGCTTGTATGTTCGAGTGGTGTAATGGATAATGGCGCAGAATTGTTAATCGGGCAACCGAGCTCCCCCTCCCGTTGGGTTCGTTATATTCACTTACACGCAAATGCCATTCGGAAAAGTATGAATTTACCTCTTCTCCCCCAGCTGTAGGTCAATTAGTAGGACGTGTATTACTAAATTATTATTATCTCCTCTACAAAATCTTCTTACAATCTAAAAATATTTTCTGAATTTAAATAACCTGCAAAAGTTTGATAAGCCGTAAAAAAATAAATCATCTCAAAATCCTCCACAATCCGTAGCTATTCGAAGGCAAGGCAAAAGCGGTATTTATTTATTTATTTACGTGACTGTAATTCTGTCTCTTTGATATTGAATAAAATGGCAAATGTTAGAAGTATGGTAATAAGGTATATTTCAGCGCGCCCACGTCCCTAGCGAGTCTGACACAAGGCCAAGAATTAAAGTGGGTTTAACGGCAATACTGTGGAAAAATTGCCCAAGCCCCCTCAGCACTTCCTTTTTGGGGACGCCTCAGGCGCTGGGCAATAAATCCAGTCCCCGAAGGAGAAGTACTGCCTGGTGGGGAAGGCTTAATATTTTTTTATACATACCCTGGCATGTGCCAGATAAGTATGCTAATAAGTTCATCGGAAAACAATACGATATTTATAGAGAGAGCTGTTGTGGCTAACCGGACGTTAGTTTCTATTTTCTGAAAGAAAAAGTAATAGGAAGACGAAAGGGAGGTAATTGTGCCTAATCAAGAAGATTTTTCAAACGATAAAAGCAATAAAAATATCGCTACTCTTCGGCTTTATTTTATTTTCATCACATGTTTTTATTTTTAGCCGTCATATTTTCATTTGCTACTTTTTGTTATTTTTATTTATTTCTGGTTTTAGTTTTGTTTTCATTTATGCTTTTTTTTAGTTTTTATTTACATTGCTTTTCTTTCTTTCTTTCTTATTTATTCAGTCATTTTATATTCGTTCCGTCTTTCTTTCATTTTTGTAATTCATTTGTCATTTTATTCTTTCTTTGTCACACAGTTATCTTTATGTTCATTCTTTCTTTCTTTCTTTCTCGTTTAGTTGTTGTTTTATTCTTTCTTTCCTTTTTTCTATTTCTAACACTTGATTTTCCTCAGCTTCATACGATGCATAACCAAATGGATTGATGAAAATCGTATTGAGGAGGGCCTTATCTTGAACATGGACATTTAGTACCGGGTAGGAAAGAGACAACTATTTTAGCCACGTGGCAATCTTGGTTATCGTTCCACTTAGATAAAAGAAGGTCCAATCACGCAAGAAACATTTATTTTCATCCAGACAGAATTTCTCACAGATATTTTTATTTTCTATTTGCTTTTCACCGGATGTAAATCTGCTTGATTTGCGCATCGCACACCGATGTAAATTTATTTGATTTCGTTTGTCACTTGCCGCTTGAAAACAATATCAAAATTCTCTATCTTCAAAATGACCCCAACTCGGGGTTCATAGCTCACAATTATTTTTTCATTTATTTACGAATTTGGCTGAAATCTTTCACTTATATTTAATTTGAACAAAACGGCATATATTTGAGATATTCGATTCTTTCTCTATAAATAATTTTTTTGGAAACATCATGCTTATTGATTGATTTGATTGTTTAACGGCATATCAACACCTTATGGGTCATTTAATGCTGAAATTTAATTTTCTTGTGAGTTTTAAAGTAATAAAAATATAATACACATTATTTTGCCTTCATAATTGAACAATACATGGTAAATGATACCCAGCTTTTGTGCATATAAATGTTTGTGTGGACATGATCACTAGAGGCGGCGACATGCGTGCTTTATGTTGTAATTTTGTTGAAGTTTTAGCATTCCCCTATTACTATTTTTTTTTATCAATGTCGATTTCTGTGCAAAAAGCGGATCACAGAGCTTATCCAGTTTCATACATATTCTCAGAAAACCTCAACTTCTGATTGGTCACTTAATATTTAAATCATGATCTCAACTAAGTTCGAATAACATCGACCTTGTTCTTGACCTGACTGAAAAATAATTCCGCCTAAAATCTATCAATGCTTTTAGAGCCTGTCACGTGATTAAGTTGATTATAAATACCAGACACGAATTCGTTCTTCCTGTTTTGTTTTTTTTTGTTTTTTTTTTGTTTTTTTTATTTCTTAATTTCATTCACCTACGAAAAATGTAGCGTTAAAAAATCACGTTCCGATCCCAGTTCGGGCGGACGCTATGAAAACCTCTTCACACACGTACGCACGAAACTTTACAGACTACATTACAAACAAACGAAACTTTTCAAATTCATTACAAACTTAATGACAAGCAACGGAAACTTAATTACGGAACATTTATTCCTTCAACCCTTCTGAAGCTAAAAGTTCACTCAACATATTCTCAGCTTTACAGAATTCTTTCAACTTTCTCACAGTGAACATTTTGAGCGGCAACTTCATTCAACTTTTTATGAGCTCAGATAAAAAAAAAAAAAATCATTAGTTAAAAAATTTAAACCTGTTAAAGGGAAGTAACCCCTGTGCTTGTATATCATTATATAAATATAAATCTCGTTGTTGTTATAAAACCGTTTTGTGTTACTTTTTGTTGCCTTTGCGTTTGTTTACATATTCGTAAAGTAAAAAAATGTGCGGGTTGATTTAGGCCGTCAATACTGACACAGTTATATTTTAGTTTGATTTCTTTCAGAAACTGTAGGATATTTTATGAACTAATGTTATGAAAGTGTTCTTTTATGTTGGTTGTTTGATTGGTTGATTTTGTTGGGCGGCATATCAATGGGTTATTTACCAAAATTGAAATATTTTGTGCGTAATTTTATGCTTTCAACTACAGAAATTTGTATATAATTTTTTTACTTTCAGAGTAAAGTTATGTTTTTTAGATATATATTTTGTAGATCATAAAATGTATTGTTGGTAAATTTACTATAAAAATGTATTTTTATATATTTGTAGTGTTGTATTGATTGCCAATTTGCTATCAAAATGTATTGTTGGTCATTTGATTATGAAAATGTATTGTTTTGGGGTCACTATTTGCCCATAGTTGGGACTCTAACAGGTGTTACTATTCCAGGTCAGGGTGGAATGTGGGAACAACAGCAGTCAAGAGATGCTATCATGCTCCTCAAATCCTCTAAACTCGCGATCAGAGACTTGGCTGCCGGATGTAGTTTATCGTCATAACTAGGACAAAACAATTTACTCTTGCATTATTGACAGAACCGATGATAGCTTTAAAAATGCCTCCAAATGAAGAACTTAATCTATTTGTTAATTCTCTCGTCGCTCTGTCGCGTCTCTTGGGTAGCAGATTAGGGATTAGGGAGATTGGTTTGCCTTAGTGCTCATTTGCCTACTCTCTTTTCCGTCAACCATTGTGACGTACCAGCAATGAAACATTTTTTGCTATAATATCTGGCGACAGGAAAAAGCGCAGGTGGGAGTGATTTCATGCTTTTACCAAACCTGGCTCTTTTAGGATTATCATAGACTAGCAGTAGAGCCCGGTGTTGCCCGGGGGTGTAACAGTAAGAGATAGATCAAGTATCGACCATCATAAAGACTGAAAAATAAAATTGACAAAGATTATTGTTTAAGGTTGACGGACACGCATGTCTTAATTAGTTTTTGTTTTTGTTTTTACGAATTGGTCAAACTCAAACAAAAACATTGTTTTCAATCGTTATGAGTCTACCGATTGAATCGAATTTTTCAATTTTATTATAAACAATTGTCTTGTAAATGGAATTTTTAAAGTATTCTGAATGTGAAAATAAAGAAAAAAGTGTGCAAGACAATAAGAAACACTACCTGCCCAAAAAAGTGAAGTTTTGTTGAAATCGGTTGAAAATGTAGGAAATCAGATCCCATATATAAGCGAACACACACACACACACACACACACAAACAAACAACCCTGGGTTTTTATAAGTATAAATCGATATGAGTTGTCCCCCTTTCATTCTCGAAACACCGATGCCTCTTAATCGTGTTTTCAAATTGATTTCATGCAAAAACAATTGTTTTTTCCGATTTTTGGCACTGTCAGAACCACCGCAAGGTAATTTTCGTAGTCCTGTGAAATTTTGTTGAAATTTGAAAAATGTAGGAAATCCGATCCAATATATAAACGAACAGACACACACACACACAACCTGGGTTTTATAATAAGTATGATTAATTTTTTTTAAAAATAATTCTGCAGGGTAAATGACGAATTTTTGAGTGAATTTCCATAAAGACTTTTTTTCCCATTTTCAAACAGCAAATCAATTAGAAGCTTCCTCTGCGAAGCCTGTTTAGATCTTATTCTAATAGATTTACAATCTATAGAGAGTGGATATAAACTTATATATATATATATATATATATATATATATATATATATATATAAAAATCATTTTTGTGTTCGATAAGACATTGATTTTGCAACGTTTAAAAACAAATAGGTTTTCAGAAATCGTTTCTCTATCAAATTCAGTGATTTATTTGCTGCTGTTAGATTTAGGGATATATAGATATGAAAAGAACTTAGACATGAATAGACTGACATAATCAAGGCGATTAGACGAATAAACCACAATATGAATAGTTAGATATGAATAGAAATACATAGGTTGAGATGAATAGACTGAGATATCGTTATACTTGGACGTCGTGTTAGAAATAAATAAATTCTGATAGGTATCATTAAAACCTGAACAGGGTGTGATAGATAGATACTGACAGATTAAGAAATCAAGAAAGAAACACTTGATTAAATAGATATAAAACAACTGGCAGGCATAAGAACAGGGATGGATATTAAACAAACGAGTTTGGCATTTTCTTGCATTTTTTTTTACATCTTCAAACTCATTCGTTCTTCTCACTCGCCCCTCTTCCATTACTCGGATGTTTCCTTTCTTATTCCTACGCAACCATAACAGAATGGACACCAGTCTCTGGGGTCA